TTTTTTCAACAATACAGAACTCTTCTCTGTATTCTAGCTGTTTTCAGTAGTGGTTTTATCTGATGGGTTTTAATTCTTTCTCAGAATACCATTTCTCTTACGATCCCAAAATCCTCTTCGACAATCTCCTCACTGATGAAGAAGGGACTTGAAGCAACAGAAATGTTGTTCTACAGAAGGATGCTGAGAATAACAGGGATCGGATAAGTAAGCAACGACGAAGATTTAGAGAAAAGGGAAACAAAAGTATTAAATGTATACTTAACAACAGGAAGAGGGAGTTGAAATTTTTGAGGCATATAATGAGGAAAGAGGGCTTAGAAAATTTGATCCTCACACGACAGATTGAAGGTAAGTGGGACAGAGGAAAACAACGCATAACATACTTAGAGAGCTTGAGTAAATGGATGGCGGAACAAGGATTAGGAGAGATAACAAAAATACAAAGTTAATTTAGAACTGCAAAGGACAGGAAATTGTGGAGAGCCGTGATCAACTTTCTGAAGGGAAACGGCACGCAGAAGAAGAATTGCATTCATCAAAATGTGACATTTGTCAGAATAAAAAAATATTGCGGTTTTTATCATTTTAGATTGATTCATTTTTATGGTTTATCAACCCTTTGCAGGTTTTTTAAAACCAGAAAATATGTTTAGCTGGTAATAATTTTTGACATTATTTACATTATTCGGACTATTGTCCTCATCTTTGTCGCCATATTTATCACAACGTTTCGGCCGTTGTACGCTCCGGCCTTCTTCAGGTGGTTGGAATGTCGAACTGAACCCTTTATTTCGCTCACTGGGGTAGACTGTTCTAGTTCCACGTGCCATGTTTGAAGGATGTCAGTTATCAGTTATCTCCTGTTAATTTCCCTCTGAAAGTTCTCCACTGCCTTAACCGGGTATTGAACTCACACTCTTTGGGTTCTGTCACTGGATCTAACGAACAACTTTATCCTCTGTGTCATGTGTCCTTGAGGACATCTGGGTATGAATTTCTGGGTATTATAAACCTAATGTCTTCAGCAACCATTTTTACCAGTGCTGATATTGCAATTTTGCTGTTATCATTGCATGTTTTTACCAGAGCTCATATTGCAACTTTGTTGTTATCATTGCTTTTCTCTGGCACTCCTTATTACTGGTTCCCATATTGTATTTATTTCTATGCTTGGTCGGCTCAGGAGATTTTTGTGGCCAAGCATAATGTACGTAATATCTCATCTCAGAAATATAGACAGATACTCACTGGCGTCAACAGCATTCTGGATAATCTCTCACCAGTGAGATTATCGATTATTGTCGAAATCTAACTTGAGCTATATTCCTGTTTGTATAGCTTCACGTGACTGAGTTATTTACGGTGGAGTAATGGATAGAGGCTCGGATTGAGGAATCGGAGAGACGAGTTCGAATACATTACATTCATTTATGTGTTAATGCCCTTGGGAAAAGTATGAATCCTCTTCTTCTCCCTCCAGCTATGGAGTAAATAGTGGACTGACTGGGTTCTCTAGCCTTTGATGGCAACTGGTCTACCGCAGAATACTCGTCAGTCATGTATCGAAAGATATATGGTCGCCTAAGCGAGTATCATGCATGGCACATAACTGAACTTAACGCAAAGCGGGAAATGAGAATAGATGGAGTCAGATCTTTCCCAAAGAGCATTTCTGCAAAATACTATATAATGAATTCGACCGGATTTCGAACTCGGCTCGACGATTTCGCATTCGAAGCCGCTAACCATTATACTACGTGAACATCGATGAGTAGGTAATCATCTGGACACTATTATTTTATGTATGTATATATATATATATATATATATATATATATATATATATATATATATATATATATATATATATATATATATATATATATATATATATATATATATGTAAAAGACAATAAGAATAAATATATATATGTGTGTGTGTGTGTGTGTGTGTGTGGTGTCCTCCCTCTAATGAGTCTATTGTGGACTTTTCCCTTACTATAAAATTAGTAAGCTGTTGGGGAACAGTAGTATAAAATGAACGCTGGTAAACAGACACACACACACACACACACCCCAGGTCGTAATACTATTCCGTTGTATTTACTGTTCAATACACAATTTATCTGTAACCTTTTGTTATGTTTTTTCTTAACCATTTACTTGGTTACAACAATATATATATATATATATATATATATATATATATATATATATATATATATATATATATATATATATATATGTAAGCAAATATATGGATATAGATATGAAAGAAAAATATATACAGGAAAAAACAAACAAAATCCTTATATATAATTATAAATTTTAACATTAATTTGTCATGTTGTATTGATAATGTTATATTTATGAATATGTCCTGAAGATGGTTTATTAGACTGAAACGTCCGACGTTGACATATTAACATTAAAACAGCATAATTATATATAATGATTTTTGTTTGTTTTTTCCGTATATATTTTTTATATATATATATATATATATATATATATATATGTGTGTGTGTGTGTGTGTGTGTGTGTGTGTGTGTGTGTGTGTGTGTGTGTTTTGAACCAAAATATTGAAAAAATTAAAAGATTAAAATTTTCTGACACACTGGGTTGTAGATTAATTTTTTTTTGTAATTAATTTTTTTTTGTATTATTATTTCGATTAGCTTCCTCGACTAGTTTCGTCCAGCATGTCCACTATATTCCTGCTTGTTAGTAGCAGCGAACTACAGGAATGAATGAATTTTCATTTGTTTTGTTTTTCTATCTTTAATTTTGCTCAGCCCTTGTGTTGGTCAAACGGCCTTTTTAAAGTTGTTTTAACAAGAAAAACACTTAGAAATTCCTTTGTTGGTATAATGCATAAAAATACAAAAATCGACTTTCTATGAGTGCGTCATTTTTTTGGGATCGTACTGTATATATATATATATATATATATATATATATATATATATATATATATATATATATATATATATATATAGTACAGGTAATCGATCCGTTGGTATATAATCCGGGTGGAGCCTAGTAATATAATTTATTAAAACTTATCCACAGAGAGAGTGAGTGAATGTTTGAGACTATATATATATATGGTGTGAGTGAATGTTTAGGATTATATATATATATATATATATATATATATATATGGAAAGAGAGAAAGCGTTAATGTTAATTCGCAATAAATGACAATGCGTCATTTAAGAAACTGACACAACTTTAAACGATTAATTTGTATTACGACTATTACATCTACTACTGCTAAGATGAAAGAAACATTAGTCAAAACATAATACCGACAAATATTTCATGTGAGAATTGCGAATAACTGTATCTTCAGACTACTACTTCCAATAGTATCACTAAGTGGAAAAACGCAGGAAATACGAAATAAAGCAAAGTAAATACTAGTTAAATTAGTAAATAATTGTCAGCGATTGAACTTTGGTACATGAATACTATTACAACTTATTTGTCGTTTATTTACGGAAATTAAGGTGAAATTCAAATTTAATCATAATCAACAAGACTTCATCACAGAAACTAGAATATTATTATCTCTATTATTACTTTTATATGTAAATAATTAAGCTAGTAGGGTATCATATATCGTTGCTAGAAACTCTAAAAGTTGTATCAATACAGACATTGTTCAGTTTTGTCTGATTTTGGTGTTGAAATGAGCCGCCATTTTGAGACAGCGGTCAGTAACGCATGAAAATTGAACGGGACAGAAATAAAGAGATTTAATATCAAAGCTCGACGCAAGTTACGACAGAAACAAGGTTACAGGATTTCATTTCTATTGTTACTTAATGATACGTACTTGCCACTTATTCTCAAGTACGATATGATGTTTTGTATAACAATCCTTATATCAAGTATCTTAAAAAGTATCCGTAAAGATGCGTTTAGCTGGTCTTCCTTTTTACAACTATGACTTTTAACCGGAAAAGTTGAAATTTAGTATATATATATATATATATATATATATATATATATATATATATATATAGATATATAGATAGATAGATAGATAATATTAGTGGTAAATATACATACGTATGCAAAATATATAAATACCCATACATGTATATTTTAGAATAAAAATTCCAAGAGGTAGAATCCAGGTAGAACTCAATGTCCAGGACAGAGTAAGGATTTGTAGGTCTGATGAATTGATCGTATTTACGATTCCAATGGAATAAATTATGACCATGGAATATTAGTGTTTAAGCCTTTTTTATATATTATATATATATATATATATATATATATATATATATATATATATATATATATATATTTTTTTTTTTTTTATTTTTTCAAAACAGTGCTCATTGTAAATTTACGGAGCATGAATATTATAAATTAACTGATTTAAAATATGTTTTTTTTCGCTACACAATAATAACCATGTTTCAAAAATCGAAGCTAAAAACTTTAAATTTAATTATATAATTAAATTAAAAGCATTAGTTCCGTTTCATCTTCAAGCAAATATTGGAATAACTTATTTTTAAATTTACTGAGTTTTAAACGCACATATAAATCCACAATTTACCGTTTCCAATGATACAGAGAAATCCAATCATTCCGACAGGAGCGATGTGAAAGAGAGTGAATGCGTGTATGTACTGGGGTATGCGTGTGTCAAAATTGAAGAAATAGTTCAATGCTGTTTTGAATTCTTTCAACGTTTAGCAACTGATAGATTGATTTGTTTTTTACGGCATATCAACCTTTAGTAGGTTATTTAAAGCCCAAACATATTTTGGGGTTGTAAGCAAAATTCATTTTTCGAGTGAATATTATTTGAACAATTCAGATACAAATCCTACTATTTAACCCATAGTTGAGGGAGTAGAAGAGGTTAATTCATATATTTTCCAATGGAATATCACGAGCTCAATTAGAATTGAAACTTGGCTCTCCGAGTTCTCATTCCGACTTCTTATCCATTACACCACCCGCACACCTAAACCTAATATTCTCAAGCGGTCACCCATCTAAGTACTAACCAGGATCGTTGTTGATTAACTTCGCTGATCGAACGAGAACTGGTGTTTCAACTTGATATGGCTGTAAGCCTTCAATGTTAATCAAGACAATAAAATAGAAAAGCAATACACAAAATGATACAAACGACAGGCTGCAAAATGCCTATTCTGCATTTTCAAAGATGTCTTCTTTACTTTAATACACAAAACTTACTTATTTGTACCAATGTAGAAATTCTCTACTATAATATATTAAACATTTGTAATAAAAATAATTTGAAAATACTTTGTAATAATATATAAATTATCTAAATAAAGTAAACGGCAAATTTCTGTCTGTCTGAAACTCCTCTAACTCAAACCACAATTGCTCTACATAGATATATTATATCTTTTTTTGGAATTATGATGATTCTGGAATAGAAAATCTGACATTCATCTGGTGCTTGAACATCCGACAATGGGATTTGTGTGCGGGTGTGGAGGGAACAGTTAAAAATTCAAATTTTAAAATAACTGGAAAAAATTAGTGATTTTTAAAAGTTTTTTTTTTAATTTATACTGAGTTTAAGATAACACAAAAACTTTGTGAATTTAAAAATCATTGTTTTAAATTCAGTTTATAATATCTTCAAAACATTGTGAATTGAAAAAATCAATTTTATTTCTTCAAAATGCCAAAGAATCAGAGTTAAGTTGAAAGATTTCCTGATGAGGTTTTGAAGTTCCACAGTGTTTGTCATTTGAAGAACTCAATTTTCGGCCTGAATTGAGATTTCGGCGCATGTCTTTTGGCTGAAAGATTTAAAGTGAGGTTTTAAAGTTCCATCGGGTGAATTGAGGAATTCAATGTTATTTCTTCAAAATTATCATTGTGTTTCTTAGCTGGACCAGAGGCTCCATTAGTTTTGTGTTAAAGAGCCAATTAACACTTCACAGGAACTAGCTCAAAAGACGGTGACTTTTAAGCTAGATTCTAATAAGATAAAGTCAATAGAGAATACATGTACAACTACTAAACCGAAAGAATAAAAAAACAGATTAGAATAAATATAAATAAAATATCGATAGAAAATAAAAAAAAATATATTAAAATAAAATAAAATGAAGAAATAGATAAATAAATAAATAAATATCTTTTCCCTTATTTTTTAAAAGTGAAACCTACACCCTTGTGCAAATTAATTGAAACAAAACGAGTAATTCCGTTATTATTTACTTTTTTTTTCGTATTTTTCCAATGAAACATAACACAGTGAACACGTTGGTATTTCATATGTCCATTCCACGAAGTCGTTTCTTCCAGATTGACCACAGATACTCGATTCGATTAAAAAAAAGAAGTGTTTCCGGGCCAGTCTATAATACTTTGAGATGACGGATCCGGATCAATAATATTGCAGATTCTTCATTGTATTTTATCTCCAAAAAGGATAGCAGTGTTGCAGGACAACTGAACACCGCCAACTCATCACTGCCGACTGACTACTCAGGACATGAACAACTCAGCATCAGAAAAAAAAAAGTAACTATTTTATAAAAGTAATTTATTAAAGTTTAAAGCCTCAATTAGTGAATATTTTTCTTCAAATAAGGCATCTGAAAAGGCATCATGTAAAATATGAACCAGTTTTTTTGGTTTTTAATTAGTCTTAATAAAGTAAATCGTAAAGAAATTAATTTTTTAATAAAGTAAATTGACATGAAAAAATAATTCATTAAAACACACTTGTTTTTAGTTATTAGTAATATCTAAACCCAATTTTAATCTTACTTATTATAAAACCCAGGTTGTGTGTGTGTGTGTGTCTGTATATTTATATACTGGATCGGATTTCCTACATTTTTCAACTGATTTCAACAAAACTTCACAGGACTACGTAAGATTACCTTGTGGTGGTTCTGACAGCGCCAAAAATTGGAAAACACAATTGTTTTTGCACGAAATCAATTTGAAAACACGATAAAACACAATTCTGTCGCCAGAATGAAAGGGGGACAACTCATATCGAGTTATACTTATTATAAAACACAGGTTGTTTGTGTGTGTGTGTGTGTGTGTGTGTGTGTGTGTGTGTGTGTGTGTGTGTGTGTGTGTGTTCGTTTATATATGGGATCGGATTTCCTACATTTTTCAACCGATTTCAACAAAACTTCACTTTTTTTTGGCAGGTAGTGTTTCTTATTGTCTTGCACACTTTTTTTTATTTTTACATTCAGAATACTTTAAACATTCCATTTGCAAAACAATTGTTTATAATAAAATTCTATTCAATCGACAGACTCATAACGATTGAAAACAATGTTTTTGTTTGAGTTTGACCAATTCGTAAAAAAAAAAAAAATAATAATTAAGACATGCGTGTCCGTCAACCTTAAACAATAATCTTTGTCAATTTTATTTTTCAGTCTTTATGATGGCCGATACTTGATCTATCTGTTACTGTTACATCCCCGGGCAACACCGGGCTCTACTGCTAGTAATGTATATTTGGTGTAATGTAAACCTAAAAGTTAACCCTATCTGTAATCCTATTTATTTATTTTTTTCACGGTAATGGTCAGCCTTTACAAGGCCCGGAGGCCACTCGTGATAGAAGATTATGTTACGAGGCAAATTGAGTGGAAGTTAACGGTTGACTTGAACAGGTTAAGATTATAATGATCGGGGAAACATCCTCTTGAGAGTCGATTCCACAGAGCAATGGTTCGCGGTAAGAGGCTGTTCAAGTGGAATATGCTTCTCACCGCTGGAATACGGAAAGAATGTGCGTGTCCTTGTCGTGAAGGTTTGAATTTGTGGTAACAGTAAATGTAGTTTGTCACAAGTCGCGATAGAGCAGTGAGTGACCTGCCGTATCCCGCCTGTGGGGAGATAGTTTGTGAGGGGGTGGGGGAGAATATTACGTTACCCCAAAAGACTCTGTTTTGGACTCTACCAAGGCTGAAGAGTGAGGTATAGGCAGCACCTGCCCAAATACGAGAACAGTTCTCCATTTTTGGCCTGGTCTGGCTCGTGTAAAGATAGACGATAGCAGGAGCAGTCAGGTACAATTTTATCTGTATCCTTAGCAATGGATGGTATGTGCGAGTTCCAATTGAGATCAGGTGCGAATTTGAGGCCCAGTAGTCTTTCAAGGCACGGTGCCTGCCTGAGGGGACATCCGTTCATCCTGATAGGTAGTAGTAAGTATGTAAGTAATAACTTATCCTGCCTAAGCCTAGGTATAAACTCGGCATAATATCTATACCTACCTCTAATAATTTGTTATATATACTTAATAGGTAAATATGCTCTAATCGTAGGTATAATCTCTTCATAACAGTTAACTCTAACTATAATTCTAGATATAATTTATATCTTTTTATCATTTAATCCATAGCAAGGTAATAAAGCTACTAAGATACAAGGGGTTAATCCGTGTGAAATTAATAAGAAAAACCTTATTAATGAGAGAGATCAATAAAAGAAAAAGAATCAATAAGACAATAGATAACGATTGACATTGCATTTAAATTTTTGAAGATCAAACTTGGCTAGATAGCAAGAAGCTGAAATGGAGTATCAGAGGCGAGAAATGCGATTTTTCTTTGGAATTTATTAAGATATCTAAACCAGATGTGGCAGAAATATAATTGTTAGAATAAATAAATGTATACATACAATTATATAAAAAGCCAGCTTATCTGCAATAATTAATATTCAAAACAAAAATGGATCTCGGCTAGAATCCTTGGTAGAAGATTTAAGAGCATCCCCGTCCAAGAGACGAACTTTGCAAAGAAGATATTCTAAAAAATGTCAAACTCAGATAATCTCATTAAATATTAAATAATAGTGAACATAAAATAAATAACGATTTTTTAAAGAAATTTACTTATTTTTTTATTACAAATTATAATAAATTCTTTTGTTTGTGTTAATAGATAAATTATAAAAATATACCATATATATGCGAATCGCTCGACCCCAAAATTTTCACTTATAAAAAAATGATTTTATCTCGTGTATCCTGTGAGTTCCTTTTCTGAGAGACTAAATTACAATACAGTGATCCCTCGTTTATCGCGATAGATTGGTTCCAAGATCGGCCGCGATAACTGAATTTCCGCGAAGTAGGGACGCCATATTTACAGTATTTATTTAACGTGTATTTGGACTTTTAAAACCCTCCCTGTACTGTTAACAACCCACCCATTAAGGTACTCTATTAATAACAAAGCACAACTGTAAAGCAATAACACTTTAGATTAAAAAAAATATTGTTACTGTATTCAAAACGAAAGAAGTTGAATTAGAATTTCAATGATGATGGTGATGAATTTGCTGCACAGCAGAAATGATGATGAAGCTGATGATGACTTCTACTGTGCAGCCGATAATTGTATTTTACGTCTCTTCAGACGGCGGTGGCCTTTCTATTGCTATTTTACGCTTGTTTTGTTGTTCCTAGACAAAGAAATAATATTTATTATTAATATTTTAATCGGTTTAATGAAAACTTTTAGGTGTTCATATATCGCGATTTTTCTAGAATTTGCCAGAAACTCCTCGATATATTTTCCATATATATATTTTAAAAATCCGCGAAGTCGTGAATCCGCGATAATAGAACCGCGAATTAGCGAGGGATCACTGTAGACTAACCTCTTTTCCTCTATCTCTTTATGCCATCTTCTAGTTAAATAAGTTAAAAATGTAAAAGAGAATAATAAGTGTCGCTAGTAACGCTATACTTGTTCCGTAACAAAAAATACAAACATGGCGAATATGCATCTTTTCCTTTGTTTACGTTTATAAAATGTTCAGCTCTTTCTCATTTGGTTGTTTATGGATGTAAGCATGGCACCTTGACGTGGTATAATGGTTAGTAACTTTTTCTCGCTAGAACAATTACGACAGTCTACTGAGTTCAATCTTCACTGGGTGCTCCACTCTTTCGGCCTTGTGCTACGCTTAGAAAATCATGGACACTTTGACGTGATGTAATGGTGAACAAGATGTCTTGAATTCAATCCACACAGGAGTGCTCCATACTTTCGGCCTTGTGCCTCATCTCAGCCCCTTTAGAAAATCACCATAATTTA